AGGTGTGCAAGCCCCACAGACACACGGATACCTCCCAGGTGTGTGAATCCATAGGAGTCAGGCGTCCACACAGGTGTGCAAGCCCCACAGACACAGGCACCTCTCAGGTGTGTGGGTCCACGCACACATATGAGCCTGGAAAACACGCAGTCACCCCCACCCTAGCTCCTGAGACAGGACAGGTGCGTGTGTGGCAGGACAGGTGCATGTGTGGCATAACCCAGGGTCAGAGCCAGGCGTGGGCTCCACACAGCAGCCAGGAGGATGTCAGTGTTTCCGGGACTTAATCTGGACGACAGCGAGCCCGGCTTTGGTCTTTCCAACTACAGCTTACACCAGGACTTCCCACCCCACGGTCTGTCCTGTGCCCATGGTGTGACAGCCCACACTCCAGGGGCTCCGGAGCAGGGGGACAGGTGCTGAGCAAGCAGGTGCCCCAGCTGGGCCCCTGCAACCCTCAGGCAGGACACCTATGGCAAAGGTACCAACCAGCCCTAGGACCTCAGGGGACATGGGGCCCTGGGCACATAGGAGGGTCTCACAGCTCCCTTCCCAGGAGCACCTGGATCTCCAGGGGACCCACACTTCTTCAGGCCCATGTTCTGCATCTCCCAGACCCACTTCCTCTGACCCAGCATCTGCAGCCCCCAGGCCCAGTTCCTCTGGCCCAGCGTCTGCAGCCCCCAGGCCAACTTCCTCTGGTCCAAAGTCTCCACCCCCCAGACCCACTTCCTTTGTCTCACTCTCTGCAGCCCCCCAGGCCCACTTCCTTTGTCCCACCATCTGCAGGCCCCAGGTCCACTTAGGCCCACAGTTTGCACCTCCCCAGAGAGTGTGTTCCACCGGCACACAGTCCTGGTGTTGACACACACCTACTCTGTGAGGCTCTTGTAGGAGCAGACACCTCCCAGGATCACCAGTGATGTGCAGCTCTTCAAAGCTAAGGGGACATATTTAGGGAGCCTTGTGGGACCCTGAGGTCAAGATGGCTGAGGTGGCCCCTGATCCATCCCGATGGCTCTCCTCTCTATGCTCAAGCCAAGGACAGGCAGCGGCTGGACATCGTCAGACCTCACGACATCTTGAGCATCAGGACACAATGCTGCCTTGGCTTGGTGGGAAGGTACAGTGGGCTGGACACAGAAACCAAAGGGGGCAGGCAGTCCCTTGGCTGGGCAGGCAGGGTGGTGGCCTCCATGCAACAGGACCTAGCTCTCCCTGAGACACACTGTGAGGGCACAGAGCCCCACACGCCCTTTGCTCCCACATTCCAGGGGCCCTGGCACCAAATCAGTTGTCATACCCCTGTGACCCCACAACAGGACACCAGGCACCCACCCTTCGCTCTCTGGTGGTCCGGCTGTCCTACCTCCAGAGTGCTCGTCCTCCACCTGCCAAACGCTGGCCGGTTCCCAGGCCCTGCCTGGAGTCCCGGGGCAGCTTCCTTCTGCACCTGG